GTGTATGCATGAATTTTGAAGAGGTATACAAATACGCGTAGGTTGTATAATTTTATTGGAAATGTTATTACAATTGTTTATTGTTTCCGTAAGATGTGACAGTCGAACGTTTGAAGGTGAAAAGACAGAAAATATGAACGTTAAAATTTTTCCTACCGTTACGAATATAAAAAGAGTAATATTTGTAGGTAAATGACTCCTCTATAAGTACTTCTTTCTATCTTCTTTGTTCGAATTTTAAACTCAGTTATTTCTGTCTCTTTTTTATCAAATGTTCAATACTCAGTTTTCTAGTTCCTTGATTTATTTATTCTTCTCCGACTCAAAACTATTTTTTTAGGCGGTCTCACTTGCTCAGAGGTAAACAAACATAGAGTCATCAATCATCAATGAACAAGGTAAGATCTAATTGGATTCTTTTACTCTCTTCATTTAACTCTTGTGTTTGATTTGTTTCATATTTTGAAAATATTTGTTAGATGACACTGTTTGAAATTAAAACCAATTGATATGTACATATGGTGATTTATTTCATAGATTGAAAACGTTTTGGATGACTCTGTTTAAAATCCAATTGATATATATATATTTGTGTAGATATAAAGTTCATAAATTGGAAAAGTTGTCTTCATAAATGTGCATGTGTGTACTGGGAAATATAAGAAAAGTATAGAAACAGATTTCAATATATTCTGCTGTCTAAGCAACACATAGATCTTCTTATAGTAGAACGAGTCTAACTTTTGATTGGAAAATATAACTGAAAACATTGGGTGTCTCTATAGTATTACACTGTTGTCAAAAATAGTCATGACTTTTGGTTACTAGATATTTTAAAGAAAAGAGGAAACTGACTTGGGATAGAAATTGTTGTATGATCTATTTTTGCAGAACCCACTAAATCGAAAAAAGTTTAGTCTCTGAAACTTAAAACCTACATCGATGGTGAGATGTACCAATGCAAGCCAGAAGGATGTAAATATAGATGTATGTGTAATGTATAGAAGAAAATGGCAAATATATGTATGTGCACAGGATCAAACAAAAAACAAAAAATAAAACACTAAACATCGCCCAAACAAGCCAAAAATTAAAACATTGTCCTTAACCCAAAAATTAAATCATATTTGTATGGATT